TAACGCGTTACTTTTTAAAATTAGCAACGAGTAACGGTAACGAGTTACTTTTTACAAAAAGTAACGGTAACGGTAACGCGTTAGTTTTTTAAGGTAACGTAAAACGTTCCCAACCTTGAAAATTATAGGCGTAGCATGGACACCCACAATGTGGCGACTTTATCGGCAGTGTCAGAAGATGCATAGCAAAATAGTTTGAAAAGTAGAAATGGGCGTAAAGGCGCGCAAAACAGTCTCTTGAAACGGTATCAAAAGTAAAACGCTGGCCGCTCTCCAGCTGTTTCTCTCTGGTTTATATCATCGATCGTTGGTAATTTTAATGCAAGAGCGAAGGCTATTCCCATCGTTGTCCGTGTTCTACACGCAAGATTGCGCCACTGTGGAGTAACATAACCTTTCTTTACTACTCGTGGTCGACAATCTGATTTGGAGAGATAATGTTTAACATTTCCCTTTTTATATAATCAAGTAAAAAGTCTAAATGTATACGTACATAACTATATAACTCGTTGAGTTGGAAATATGCTAAATAAATAAATAATTTGATGCTATCTTATAAATATAACTCCACGTAGTTGTATTCAATATAAAGACATGCCAATGTAAAATAAAGTGTAATGTGAATGTTATATTTATTGCACATGTTTCACTGAATATTTGAACCGTTATTTGTGAGCAGAGTATACTACTATGAAAATAATAAACTTTGACGTTTTCTTGTGGCGGCTGAAACTAGTCAGCAAAATTGCTGTTAATAACGCCGCTTGTGTTAACACATCAAGTGCTTTACCTTATACTGTTTGTAACAACTATAGTACGTCTTGTGCGAACATTGCGCAAGATTTGACTCTCGCTAATGAGCAATCCACGTTAAATAATGTCACAGTTACGTACAGTTCAGTACAGAATAACTTTCTCTATGCGTCTCACCCTCGAATTATTTCCCATGTAATTTTATATAATGGAAAGGAACACATTGGACATAAACCTTATCATAGTCAGTATTATAACAGTGTTAGGTCTTACTCGAATACTGGCATCGATTCTATTCCCGAGGGCCACGTTCCTGTGCAATTTCATGGCATATTCAAGGCAATATCGGAGAGTGCACCAATTAAAACGACACAAGATTCCTTGCTGATGGTGCATGATTATACAGGCTTACCATGGTGGTTAATCATTGTACTTACCACCATCATAATGAGAACAACAGTGACGTTACCATTATCTTTCTACCAGGTAGATTCATAAATGCGATGTATATTTATTATGTATCATTATTATAGGATATGATTTAGAATTTGGATTCTTCTGTTATATTGTTGTACTAATTTTTTCGAAACTTTAAATCGATTCCATTAAACATAAAAGTTGCAAACAAAAACTTACAACTAGCCTATTCGATAAAAAGTTGTATTAAAACTTGACCAAGTACTCTTTCCAGTTTGTTATTTTGCAAACCTTAAAGTACAATGCTTTTTATCATGATACTTTTAGCTTTACATATTAGCAAAATTGGAAAATCTCAGGTCTGAAATGAATGAGATAGTTAAAGAGTTGAAGAAGGAGGTAAATTATGGAACATATAAATACAATTGGTCTAAAAAATATGCCAAACAGTTGTACAATCGCTCTGTAAGTAATATTTTATCTCGTTTATTTTAATCGTCTAAATTACTGAGTGCAATAAAATTTCATTAGAATATTTTATTGTTAAATATTTGCCATTTTTATTGCAGGTGAAAAAACAATGGAATAAATTAATTGTTCGGGAAAATTGCCATCCGGTTAAAGCTTCCTTGTTGGTACTAGTGCAAATACCTTTGTGGATATCATTTTCAATGTCTATTAGAAATTTATGTTATATGTTACCTAAACAGGATGCCAGTACGTACGACAATGAGAATAAAATAATTATCCGAATAAGATATATATGAATTGAAATAAGAATACATTTCTAATATATTTGTTCCATCAGGTGCTTATACCACTTATCAGCAGTTTACGACTGATGGGTTTCTTTGGATATCTAATTTAACTGTAGCAGATCCTTTTATACTTCCCATAGCAATGGGATTATTTAATTTAGCTATTATAGAAGTAAGTTTTTATCATAATTTCTGATTGATTTATGATAATGTTACACGCAAATGTGAAAAAATTAATTATATTCTGGATCTCTGTATTATTCTAATTTTATATAATTGTACAGATATCTCATATGAGTAGGGTAAAAGAGATGACAAAATGGCAGAGATACTTGACCAATTTTTTCAGACTTGTTGCAATTGGTATGATTCCCATTGCTATGTCTGTACCATCGGTAAGTTTTAAAAACTATTGTTATAAAAATAAGTTATACGTAAGAAGTAATTTTATGTACTTTTTCAGTGTTTGAGCTTGTATTGGGCAACTAGTAGTGCATTTGGTCTTCTTCAAAATCTAATCTTGTTGTCTCCGAAATTACGTCGTTTTGCAAAAGTGCCTATAACTACATCTGAACAGCCACATCCATACTTGGGGTTACGTAACAAAATAGCAGCCAAGTGTCGTTTTGAAAGGAAAACGGAAGCCCCACCGAAAAAATGAATATGTTTCATAAATTAATGACACTTGTACAAATAAATCACATGTTTAAGTTTTACGACTAGTGTTTTCTTATTTATCAAAACTCATATCTCTGTCAACTATACATATACGGTACTATTTTGGCAAAATCGCAAGAATATACGTCTTATATGTCGCTACGGCATATTATATAAAATAATTTAATCAGCTGTCTGTTAGTTTTTTGTAATTTCGTCGTTGACATTTAAAAAATAAATTATATTTTATTTTCAATCTAAAACTAAATTTAGTACATAACTGTTACACCGTAAGTTATAAGTGCCCACATAGCACAAATGACTGTTTGCCGGCTGATAGTCGACATTTTTTAGTCACCTTGAAGTCAACTTTTGAAGTGGACATTTAGTCTACTATCTATAAGATGGTTTATTGTCGACTTTAACTATAGACTGATAGTCGACCTAAAGTCGACATTTTCAGGAAGTTTAAAGTCACCTTTCGGTAAAGCGAAAAATTAACTAAAAAATATTTTTTCGTCTTACCGAAAGACATAAAAATCTTTTCGTCATCTTTTTTCTTATTTTTTTCGGCAAAAAGTGCAAAAATGTGTAAAAAAAAATATTTTTTTGGCCAATCTTTCTGGTCAATATGTCGAACCGATATACATAGCGAATCGACGACTCACTTTTCGCGTGTAGCGCGATAGTCGCGTCATGCATGTTCCTTGCTTGTTCATGAAATATCAGTGTCTTCCTGATAGACGACAATCGTATTTGGACATAAGACGAGTCATATTTTTTGCGTGGCTACCGAATTAATACGATTTACATAATGTGTCGATTAATACAAGTTAATCAAGGAAACCTGTCAAATTTGTCTCAAAAAAATAAAAGCATAATTAAATAATATAATATATACTCTGGTTTATTGTCTGTTTTTCTTAAATAATAATTATAATGAGCATCTGTTTTTTATTAAAACATATGCTCATTATAATTATTATTTAAGTTTAATTGGAACATTTTCAAAGACTTGATGAATATTTTAATACAATTTTAATACAAATTTAATACAATTTAATACAAATTTTAATTACAATATACAGGGTGTCTGATGCAAAAGTAGCCAACTTGAAAATAGTGGTAGATTGGGTTAAACT